AAAACATTTGTATTTCGAATAAAAGATAAATATATGGGATAATATTATGGAAATACAATTTAAAAAGATGTCAAAAAGATTTTGTTGGATTTATTTCATTTGTATTTCAAATAGAAAAATAAAGATATTTAAAGATATTATCATTAAATTATGTAACATTTGATAATCTTCATAATCTTCTTAAGGAATAGTTCATTTTTTAAAAAATCACACATGAATCTAGGTTGTGACTTCTGTTTTAATATATAAGATATTTTCCACGTATCCAGATTATCGGGCCACATCCAGTTACTTTTATTCAGTTATTATTTAAAACGTATTATGAATAAAGATTAGGTTCATGCTCTTAAAAATTGATAAATGAACATACCACAAAATGTATATATGTTGTCGGTCAAGTTATTTGACTATACAAGCCCTTTATCAAAAAAAAAAGAAGTTATTTTGACTATACATCTTAGAATGGATTATTTTCCTTAAATTCAGATTCTAGCTAAGGAAACGAAACAATAAATATATCTTAAATTTTAAATCTGCACTTCCATGCCAATATTACTTTTATTTTTAAAAATAATGTTAAATGATTAGTACTCTATATTTTAGATGTGTCACTATAGAATTAATTATATATTTATTACTTTAATATTTTTAGTTTTTTATAATACCTAACCGACTTCTAATTTGAAAATCCAAAAATACGATATCTTAAAGAAATGATCTATATCCGAGCAAATACCTTAATGTTTATACCTAATTACTTATGTAAAGAAAATTATTAAATATTTTGAGTTCTAATCTGGAGTATTATTCAGACATGTCAAATTATTATGTTTAACATACAAAATAAATGCTATTAAACTATTAAGCTAAAGAGAATTAATATAAAAGATGAAACAAAACATTTAATATAAGTAAGTTTTTTTTTGTATTTCGGTAATAAATATAGTCGTATTATTTGAAAAATACAATGAATGAACTTGTTAACGTTAATTAAAAACAAAAATAAATAAATAAGAAATCACTTAAAAATATACTATTATTATTTTGTATTTATTTTTTAATAGAATAGATAGGAAGAAAACTTAACAAACATTTATAAATTAGTTTTCAATATTTGATCTACTTTGATTTTATTAGTAAATATTTTTAAATGATAATCAATTATGCTCAACACAGAAAACATTATTTTTTACTTTTTAGTCTTTTCTCAATGTTAATGGTATTTTTTATCTTACAGTCTTAAAGTTACTATTTAAATTTATCAAAAATAATAATTGATTCGTTAAAATAAATAAAAAGAAATTAACAAGATAGACAAATGAAAGCCCACTATTAATTGTCACTAATTATAAATATTTGTTTGAGTTTTGTATATATTTTTAAATTTGAAATAAACTAAAATAATTAATATGTAATAAATAAATGATACCAATTTATTTTTGAAGTATAATTTTAAATTATTTTTATTGCATATAATTGATTTATTTTATACTAACAAGTATCTACATTTGTGTTTATTCATTAGACATTATAATTTATCTAACAATTAATTACTTCTATATAAATGCTAAAAATATTAATTTACTATACATCTTGGATTGAAGAATATTTAAGTATATCGAGTTTTTAATACTATATAAATAATACCATTTTCAAAACCCAAAAAGATACATGAAAGAACTGATTTGGAACCGAATAGGTATTTGAATACCAGAGGTATTTTTAAATTTTGAGTTCAGGTGCATTCGAGTTTCATATTTTTCGAAGCTAAAGATTTTCAGTCAATTCAGATATTTTTAAATTTGGATTTGAATTTTTGCGGGTTCGCTTCGAGTTCGGATAACCCATTTAAAAACATTTAAAATTTAAAATTCATATATAAATTAAACTTCTAAAAAATATAAAAATAAAATAATATATCATATAAATTTGTGTAATGTACGCCAAAATATATAAATTTAACCTAAAACTAGTTTGGCTTGAGAATTTGGATGAATCAACAGATATATTAATTATATTTGGTGTTTTGAGTATTGTTTAGCCATTTTTAATTATTACTTTTGAATTTTTGTATATCTTTTCATATATTTGGGATATATTTTGGATATAAAAAATAAAATTAACTAATAGATTCAAGTATATAAATCTGATTCTTATATATTCGGATACCCGAAATAGTTCGGTTTGAATCAAATTCAGTTGTCTAACTACCAAAATTTTGAAACCGTTTGGGATATTTAACATTCAATACTATTTTTTTCAGATCGGATTTGATTCAGTTTTTCGGGTTCATATTTTTTTTGCCCAGTCATTAAATACAATACTTAATTATTAAGAAAAAATAATTATTTAAATTAAAATAACTAAATATTGATAACTGCTTTAAAAATTGTAATATTAATATTATCAGATAATTAATATTAACACATAAAAAGACCAATCAATGAAAAATGTAAACACAAAAATGGTAAAACGTAGTGAAAAGAAAATTAACTTTCAACTTTATAAAAATAAATTCTCAAAATCAAGGTTTTATGATATCAATATCATATTAATAAAATAACTTATATAACTATACTGTACTATGTTTTGCTATATTTTAGTTAGTATTTTTTTCTGTTTGAACAGTTTATATTATAACCAAACTATACCATATAGCAAGGTTTTAAAAAACAACACATGGTTTATACAAATATTAAACCAAAAGTCCCAAGATCTTGTTGGCACAACCCATTAAAAAAAAAACCCAAAAGTCTCAAAGATTTTGACCTGAAAAGCAACAAAACTACAATCTGACGTCGAACTCTCCAGCGCGTGTCTGAGCACGAAACCCTTTATACAAACGAGGAGGGATAGTTTTAAGATCAAGTTTCTCGATTCTTAGGCCAGAGAGAGCAATGCCCATTATCTTAAACCCAACTTTGAATGTCGGATTCACATGAAGCCGTTCTAAGCCCGTTTCAAGCGCTAACGTCCCTGACAAACATGGAGTCTTGTCACTTGGGATTCTCCCTATTGTCCATGTACATGTCTGCAAAACATAGTCTAAAATAAGTAAATAAAGAAACTTACCAGAATCAAGAAACTGAATTCAAAAGCAAAAGCCAGACTATAACATATCACACCTTGTTAGAGAGGATGGTTACAGTTCCATGATTTGATGAGAGATCTGCTGATGAAACACAATGAGGAATCTGGAAACTCAATGTTATTGACTCAATCGTCTTTCCAGGGTCACTTCTGATCCCAACTAACACACTAACTCGACATGTACCGGAATCTGATGTTATCTGAGGCTTTACATATAAAGGTGTGTTCTTCAGCTTCTTCACCCTGTAACTCATGAGCTTGAACTGTCCATCAGGAGGGACAAAGGAGAGAACTTGATGAGACTCCCAAGGTCTGAAGCGGACACAAGGGTGAAACCTCATGTCTTCTAGTACGGACGGATTTGCAAAGGACAATGTCAAATCAGGAAAACCAGTGAGCTGAGAACTCATTTGGACTTGGCCATAAATCTCGCATTTTACCAATTCTCCATCCCTGAATCAATGTTTTCAAAAACCAATGAGTTTTTGAAAGGTTAAATGAAGAAGATATTGTGAACCTACAAACCTGTTGACGATAGCATCCATTTCTTCAACAAGGTCAACATAGACTTCGTTGCTCGAGTACTTTGGATCAGTAGGTCTCCAGGGAACACAAGAGCCAGCTCCACTAGGGAGCGTGTCACTAACGTTTGAAGCATTCCCTGTTACAACGCTCAACATTTTGCTGACTAGATTCGGTGGAGCTATCATTTCCCTCAGGATGTTCGGTTCTGTTGTCAGAGGGAAACCATTATCGATCATCTCATCCAAAAGCTGCTCAAATCACAAATTTATGTAACTTTCAGTTAAAATGGCAAGCCAAGAAAGGATAAAGGCGACGGTAAAGAATAAAAAAAGTAAAACTTGGACATACACAAAGGAGCTACTGATCCCACATTGTTAGGCCATCTCCAACCCAACTCCAAGACTCTATTTTAATGTATTTTTCACACAAAACCTCTACAACCCAACACTAAAAATTACATTATTTAACTGCAACACTATAATTTCACACCAAATTAAAGTGTGTACTAAAATAGTGTAACTTTTAGTGTTGGGTTGAAGATGTTTTATTCGAGTCTACAAACACACTAAAATAGAGTTTTAGAGTTGGGTTGGAGATGAATTGCTTTAGTGTTAAATCACACTAAAATATTGTGATTTTAACACTGAAATAGTGTGGGAAATGCCCTTAATCTCTCAATTAATGGTAAACTAAAATAACAATTGAGCCACAAGACAAAACAACAACACAGCAGTAATGAAATGAAGAAACCATACCTCATAGACAATGATGAAGTTGTCCTTGATGAGATCTTCATTTAGCCCACCAAGGTAATCAGACAGAACATCAGCTACTCTGCAGAGAAACTAAAACTTGAAAGGGTTACAAAACACACACATAACATTTAGTTATCTAGAAAATTAGACACACAAAAAACAAGAATTCACCTCGATGGCCATCAAAGGAGGCATTTCAACTTGAGTGCAAGCTAAGAAGGTGATCCCATCACGAACCATTTGAAAAAGGTAATGTGTTGGTGAAGCAATGACCGGAAGTGACTATCCCCCAAAAAAATTAAAAACAAAGTTAAATCAAATTGGATCAAGAGCAAAAAGATTGAAACTTTTTATTAAAAAAAACCTTAAAGGAATCAGCTTGATCCCAGAACCAATCGCATATGGATCGGTCGACACGGTGACCAGTAAGCTGCTTCTCCAGCATTACCTCTCTGTGAAACAAAGAAACGTCAAAAGATGAATAAAGTTTTAATCTTTTTTCAGATTGATTGAGTCAGAGGAGATGATTGATGACTCACCCGGAATCGGAGAGGAGAAATATACACTGAAGCATCTCTATCTCTCTTAACTCTGATTGAATCGGAAGATTGAAGTTTACATCTCTCTTGGCTCCTTACTCCCTGATGGTTCTTCCATTGACGTGGAAAAAAAAAAAAAACAGTTTATTAGATTGGGCTTTCATCTGCTACCATTAGATAATGGGCTTTTTGTACCACAGTTTCTTTTGATTCCATTCGTGTTTCTCGTTTTCTTAATCAATTATCATTTTCCTCTTTCAAAGATGATCAAAAGAGTGCGTCTCCGTGATGGCATATCACGATCTTGTATCAAAAATTTTCTTTTTATTTTATTCTTTTTGAAGAATATTATATCCATTTACGGCAAATTGGATTTTCATCATCTTCCCCAATTTGTTGGTGCAATCTCCGACATGTATTTTGTCATGTTCGATGACANCAAAAGAGTGCGTCTCCGTGATGGCATATCACGATCTTGTATCAAAAATTTTCTTTTTATTTTATTCTTTTTGAAGAATATTATATCCATTTACGGCAAATTGGATTTTCATCATCTTCCCCAATTTGTTGGTGCAATCTCCGACATGTATTTTGTCATGTTCGATGACAACACAAAAAACACATTTGTGTTGAATCCAGATTCAAGCGGTAAGGAACTTATCCTAATCGCTTTGCTTTGGAAACAATCACCATGGAAACCACCATGGAAAAAGTGTATTGAAGACGGGGAGTTCCAAGATAATGGACAATTTCATAATCGTAGTCTGGAATTGTCCATGGTGATGCAACCACAGAGATTGGCAGATTCTTTTACTATATTTTTTGAAAAAATCAATATATTGGATTTTTTCTCAAAGAATATATATAGATCCTATTTGGAATCTGGTTAATGTTATACAACAAAGAAATCTACGAAGAAGAATTTGGTTTTTCATCAAAAAGATGAAAATCAAATGGAGATGGTGTTACATAAGAAGAAAGAAGATAGTTCACAAGAAAAGTTCTTCAGATCTTGTTCTTTGTGCTTCAATGTTTTACAATTGTAGTTTTGCATTTAAATGTAATTCTGTAATTATACTCTTATTGTAACTTTACACTATATTTGAATAAATAGTTGTTAAAAAAAAAAAAAATGGGCTTTTTGTATTTGATTAGGTTGTTAAAATAATAATACTATAAGTTGAGTTCTCTAATGTTAGCCCAACAAGCTTGCCCTGAAATATATGGATTTAGTGTAATTTTTGTTTTGTAGTTTTGATATAATGTTTTTGTTACAGAAATAATAGTTTTTTTTTTTTTTGCTAACCGAGTATCCTGACTCCACCGAATTGGTTCAGACTAGAGATCGAAGCGAGTAAGGACACCACCAGGACGTCACCATGTGGCTCACCTCGATCTCGGATGCTGCAGCCCATATGTAAATTCTGCAGTGGCAGAAATAATGGTTTGAGTTTTTCTTTGTCATTTTCTGCTAATTATCTGAAGATAATCGATATTTTCGCGAAGTTAACTGAATGCACCTCCATGTTTTATTTGTCAATGATTACATTTATTTTAACCGTTTTATTTTAGTGGATTAAAATACTAGTTCAAATAAATTTTTATATTTACATTTGAATTGATTTCAGATTGGAATTCTACTAGTTAAGTTAGTTGTTCATTTTGATTTGAATGATCTGTTGCTTCATTTTTATGTCTTTCAATTGTCAAGACAAAATTAGTCTCTTGCATCACATATACTAAAATTTTAACAAAAATGATGATTTTATTTGATAAATTAGATATAAAAATAAATTTTTATTTAAAGATCCATAGAATATTCTGTTCTAAAAGTCCAGTCAAAAGAAGATACTTCTAAACTAACATTATCCAAATTGTCCCTCCTTATAGTAAGCAAGGTCGGCCCACTGAGAATTTCACAGCACAGCCCTTACTCAATTTAGTTTTAGATTACTTGCTGAACTGAAGATATCGCCGTTGATGTCGGCATTATGCATCTACCCAACCAAAAAAACAATTCAAAGACTAAACGCTCAAATTTTCTAGTTTTATGGAAAAGGAACGATGTATAACAATTTTTCAACAAAGTTCTTTAAAGAGGTTAACAAAGTATTTTTGAGTTTCTTTCACCCCATTACAAAATTTACAACTTAAGTTAATAATAATGTTTTACCAAATACTTTAAAAGTTTAAAATTATATTGAACCCTTATAAGCCACGATTATAAATTTTTCTAACCTAAAAGCCTTAAATTATAACTATATATTGTTTGTCAACTTATAACTATATATTTCAACACAAAATAGTGAAACTTTATAAACATTAATCTGTTTTTCTTGGTGAATATTTTTAGTTTAAATGGTAAAACTTTATTATTATTTTTTGGGTAGTTTAAGTGCACATGAGTATACATACACACATATCCATATTACAGAAATGGAAAAGTCTTATCAACATTGGATTATATTTGAAAGGTAAACGCTTTTCGCCATAAATTTAAATATTTGATTTGTAACGTAAAATTGATCGAAATAGTCGGTCGGTCATTGTTAGGACATACTACCCATAAGCAATTAAGAATGGTAAAATAGACCAGACGGTTAATGGGTCCGTAAACTTTTCTTACGACACGAGGCATCATCACCGCCAAGTACATTTCACGTGGACACGTGTAAAGCCCATAACCAATCAGAATATTTCTTACGGTGACAATTGTAGTATCTGAAGTGGAACCCAGTGACAAGTGACAGATCAACTACCACATGATCCATTTAAAACCTTGATGAGTCGAACAGTCTTTATATTAGCACGTGTCAGTATGCAATGTCGTGGCATCACTTGGATAAGTGGGACCTGCTTTTTTTATTATTCAAACAAAGTGGGACCTTCCCCTTCCAATAGTCTATTGCTACGAAGCTTCACGCGGTTATACACAACCGTTGGATATAACAATCTTTCTTAATAGCCGTTAGATAAAAAATCTTTTCTGGAGATTTTTAGGAGTCGGTCCTATTGTATTATCCGAAGTCATTAGTAATTTAATCTTTAATTAACTAACCTAAACCACGGACAAACTCTATATAAAGCAACACTTGATCCTATTCAACGATCACTTACAAACGCAACACAATATATACAACTCACAAAGACAAACACTCTTCATTTCTTAAGACAAGATGGCACTTGAGATCAACAGCAAACTCACCGGACCAGTCGCTAACGGTGGAGAAAAGAGAGCTTACGTGGCTTTCCTCGCTGGAAACGGAGACTTCGTGAAAGGAGTGGTGGGTCTTGCTAAAGGGCTAAGGAAAGTTAAGAGCATGTATCCACTTGTGGTGGCTGTATTGCCGGACGTACCAGAGGATCACCGGAAACAGCTGGTGGAGCAAGGCTGTATCGTTAAAGACATCGAGCCGGTTTACCCACCGGAGAATCAAACCGAGTTTGCCATGGCTTATTACGTTATCAACTATTCTAAGCTTCGTATTTGGAAGGTATAATAAATTACTAATATATGTATGCTTTTTGTGATAAAAATTTACTGATATCAACATATATTATATATAGTGACTTGTACTGTTAGACTGCTCTTATTTTTATAGCAAACTTCTGTCTTTTGTTTATAAAAATACGTATGCTTAATTAGTACTAAATTCAAAAATCTAGAATGAAAAGAAAGTAATGAATGAAAAAAAAAAATTGGAATGAAATATTGTGGCTTTTTCTAAATGTTTTACGTATTTGGCTTTGTTTTAATTTTTTAGTAAATTATAAATTGTATTCTTTTTTTTGTAAAAGAAGTTATAAATGTATTCTTTTGTTTTTGACAAATTTTTTAAATTGTATTCTTTCGTGTTGAACTTTAAGATTTCAGGCTTCAGTGTTGGAGTTCAGGTTTTGGTTTAGTTTCGAGAGTGTATACTTATTCTTGACTAGCTATACTTATTCTTGACTAGCTATTTCAGTAAAACTACATAATAAAAAACTATATGATAAAAATATGCATGGGTGCAGTTTGAGGAGTATAGCAAGATGATATACTTGGACGGAGACATACAAGTGTTCCACAATATAGACCACTTGTTTGATCTCCCAAACGGCCACTTCTACGCAGTCAAAGACTGTTTCTGCGAGAAGACATGGAGCCACACGCCACAGTACAAGATAGGTTATTGCCAACAGTGTCCAGAGAAGGTGACTTGGCCAGCAGAGCTTGGTCCTAAGCCACCTTTGTACTTCAACGCTGGCATGTTCGTCTACGAGCCTAATCTTTACACTTATCATAATCTCTTGGAAACTTTGAAAGTTGTTCCCCCCACTCCTTTTGCAGAACAGGTATATAAAAGATTTCTTTTTCTGTATATAAAGAACCGAAAACACGTTATATAGTTATCTTATTCGTATACACTTCTGTTGTTGCAGGATTTCTTGAATATGTATTTTAGGGACATATACACGCCGATACCAGGAATTTATAATTTGGTTTTGGCTATGCTCTGGAGACATCCAGAGAATGTAGAGCTTGGCAAAGTTAAAGTTGTTCACTATTGTGCAGCTGGTTCTAAGCCTTGGAGGTAGTAATATTACATGTTCAACTAATTACAAACTCAGTTACTATAATAATAACATGATAATCTGAGTTTTAAAATAATAATAATAATAATAGTAATATGATTACTTTCAGTTTGTTCATGGTGAACTTATTTTCTGAGTGTTGTTTATGGTGTTTGTACCAGATTTACTGGAAAAGAGCCGAACATGGGGAGAGAAGATATCAAAATGATGGTCAAGAAATGGTGGGACATATACAACGACGAGACTCTTGATTACAAGAACATCAGTGTCGACAAAGGAGGAGACGACCATAAGAAGCAGTTTGTGAAAGCTCTGTCGGAAGCCGGTGTGCTTCAGTACGTCAAAGCTCCATCTGCAGCTTAGTCACCATATAATCATCAAGCTTTGTTACTCCTTCTCGCGGTCTATATTGATTTAGTTTGATACCATTGTTTATAACACTATAAGTTACATATACGATACTGTTTGAGACTTTGTTTATTTGTACAACAATGTTTCCTTCTACTGTATACACTTTAAAGGAATACAATATCTACTGTTT